TCTAATTAAAAGCTGCAAAAACGCTTCTGCAAAGAAAACGTTTCAATAACAATTAAGATTATAAATTATGTGAAACATTAACAAAATAAAACAATTGGTGAAAATAATTTGAGATTCTGACCGGAGAAATATGATCGATTTAGTTAATATGAATTAAAAAAAAATGTTTTTGGTGTGATAACAGCACAATATTGGAAATTACAAATAGCATTTTAAAATGATTCAAATACAATTTTTTTGTTAATTTCGAGGTCACTGAAAATTTCTAATAAAAAAAATTACACCTTTTATGCTTAGTTTTCAGTATTACACATTGTAAATACAATGTATCTCGCTATGGACAAATAATATAAAATAATATAATTCATTAAATAATTAATATCATACTAAAAACTATATTTGTATAATAAAATACAACAGAATAGATAGAAAAAGACTAGCTTTGTTATAAAATTATATATAATATCGTGTAACTAACTTTATATAATATATAATAAATTGAATTATTTAATAACAGTAAGCCAATATTATAAATTCAATTTCTATAATATTTAATAAATAATATTATTTACAAAGCCAATGTCATAATCTTATATTGCGTTACCTATTATTAAAGAATTCGTGTTCGTAGGCGGCAGTTATATAGTCAAATGCCTGGAGACAAAATTTAGAACTACAAACAATAATACAAAATATGTAAATATAATACGCTGTAATTCACTAAGCACAATATAAATTGCGATACTTCTATCCGATTAATTGAGGTCGAAGCTTAAACCATTTATGACTTACAGCTATAATTATGTTTCATAAACGCTTGGGGGGTAATACCAATATCAGAACAAACCAATCAAAGTACTAAATGATTAATTGAATATCAAACAAAATATTATACATAAATAACGAAATGGAATTTTCATTAAAACAAAAACCGTTAAAAAATTTAAAATTACTAAAAAAAGAAAGTAAGTATAAATAAATGAAAAACGGAACAGGATATAGTACAATAACACGATAATTGTCTGTACCCTTGACACAAGTATGACCCGGCAAAATGAACCGGTTTTTTACTCACGACTATTACTACTCTATCTGGATATTTTTTTTTTCCGTCAGTCTTTATCTTCTTTTATTACTATGCCTATTGTCTTTTTCGGTTTTTTTTTTATGTTCTTAATATGTTTACAATGCGACCCACTAAAAATAAAAACAAAATATACGTTTTACTTTCTCTTATGCATTGCTAAAATTTAAGAAGGGTCGTAAGTCAAAAATGAAATTTTCTTATCCATGAATACATAAAAAAAAAATCCAAATTTAAATTTTAAATATTTTTTAAAACTGCCCAACACAAAAATGAAAGGAATAATTATTAATCGTACAATGAATTCACTAACCAAGTAAAGAAAAAAATTAATACATTATACAGAAATTGGATAAACAACAAGAGTCAGTCTAAATACAAAACAAACCATCGTAGTTCGTGAAATTGATCAGAGGAAAGTGTACGAACCTATAAACGAAATTATACATTTTAAGTATATAAGTTATAATATATTATGTATGAACCAAAATAAATATTCAAACGGCGATATTTAAATTTTTTAATTCATACTAATGAGTATCATTATAGTTTGTATTTGTGTTTCATTATTAATTGTCAAACCTAAATTAAATGTAGATAATAATGATAAATAAATAATTTATTTAAAAAAAATTACAATTTAAACTTCTTAAAACTACAATTTTAATAACATTTAAAGTATTTTAAGCGTCTAAAATTTAAAAAAGGTTTTTCAGTTTTATTTATATACATCACTGAGATTTAATTTTATATAAATATAATAATGAAAGAGTAGTAAAATATAATATAAATAAGCTTGGTAAACGGAATTCGTTCTTACACTTTAATATTTATTTGGCATATACAATACACATGTTGCAATACAAAACAGTAACAATGCCGAATTAAATTTACTACCGATGTATATAATGATATAAGACTACGTGATGATATTTGAGGTCCCCGTAGCAGCTGATATGTAACAATAACGTAGCTCACAACACTGTATTCGATTATTTACTGTACACTTGTGTTTAGAAGGTTCAAGTCAATAAGAATTCACATTTTTCAACTGTGCAGAGGTCCAAAATTCCAATAAACCCTGCACATGTGTACAATAAAAAGTTTATTGAACACGTGCATTGGGGATACAGCACAAACAACGCAGCTGAAGATCATTATCAAAAAAGGTACCAATTTCATAAGAAAATATTGTGTATGGATTAAAATATAACATGCTGAATCAGTGCATTAAAAGTAGCATATTTTATTATAATTTTTACTTTAAATTATGATCTGCAGTTTAATATATGTATACACATATTCTGGCTACATATTCACTGGGTATTTTACATTAATACAAAACAAAACTATTAGTTTTCGGTAAAAAAAAGTACCAACCTTTTCATAATTAGAGCATATAATATATGCTATGTATAATGAATATTATACATTACATATAATAAATAACGTGCGATTTAAACATTTTTTAATAGAAAATAAAATAATGTTAAGAGTTGATTTATTTTTAATGTTAAGACAAAATGATCAAATAAAAAAATGGTTTAAATTTATACTTAAGGTGGACATTATATAAATAGTAAGTACATAAATTTAAGTAATGAGTAGGGAACGGATTTATATGTAAATACATATTTTTATTAAAACGAGATATTTAAAATTTGATAAGAAATGTTCATGATTTAAATCATTCCTATTAATATGATGCTACTTTTATTTTACATATTTTTACATATTTTGGTATAATTACATATTTTTACATATTTCACTAATTT